TTTCTTTGACTCCTTTCCAGCTCCTTCTCTTCGCTTCTCCTCCTCCTCCTTCCCCTCTTCCCTCCTTCCTGGTTCTGCTCCCTGAAGGAGAAAAGAACATATCAACCCGAAGACAGCGCCGCCGCAACCTTTCCTGCGCTATCTCCCAGAGGGCACAAATTGAAATTGAATTAGACAGGGATATCAGGCCTGCTCGCTGTGATAAATGTGAAAGGATTTTTATTTAAAAACGCCCTGACATTTGTTCACCCGGTTTCAAATATTTAGCTTTGCCTCCTCTCCGTTCCTGGCGGGGGCAACTTTATTAATTGTCGCCTTTGATTCAGCGTCAGAGGCTTGAAAGCGCTGATAACGCTGGCGCGGGGCGGTTTCGTCTCGCCACGTTGGCCCAAAGCAAAACGGATTTCCATTTTCTTAAAGACATTCCATGTATGCCAAGAGTTTATTTCTCTCTCTCTCTCATATATATATATATGTCTCCATCCTCTCTGTACCGGCTGTTCCTTGCTGATACGGGAAAATATCTGATCTCGCTATTTTCATTATTTATTTTCCGCCGGGTTGTTACTCTCCGGAATACACACACGCACAAACCAGAATAAAAGAATACTGTCGACATAATGCTCAATTCCCCTCCGTTTCTCCTCTGAAAAATACTTCAAAGTTTATATTAAAACAGAGTCGCCTCCTCTCCCTGCCTTCCTTCCATTTCTCCTTTTCAATGTGGTGCCACCGATAATAAATCCATCGTTTGGCGTTGGGTTTCTTTGGAGAAGTTTCCCACTCCTTTACAAAACGAATGGCTTGCAAGACCAGGGATGTAATGGGCCATTCGAAGGCGAAACGTATTCATTTTAAGGCGAGACGTATTACTCCAGGAGCCATTTCAATAATGAGGGGGCAAGTACAAGAAATCATTGCCAGCTTCATACTGACTTGGCTTCTTTTTAAAATACTCTGTGGGAATCAAAGACGTTTTGAGTTGGTCCAAATTATTCTCTTCTGTTCAGTATGACCTTAAGCCATATTCCCTTCCCAAACTCAGAGGACTATTTATTTATCATGTCAGAAGTGAGTTGAGGAGATAGTTAGCATGTATTTAAAATCACAAAGTTTAAAATTTGGCATTATGCTAAATGTCCTTTAACCAGAAGCTGGCCACTTGGAGTGTTGTATGTCAGTATGTTTGTCGGCCTGTTCAGCCTGTGATTGCGTCTGATGCTCATGATGGGAATAAAGTTCATGATGATGTTCATGTTGGGAATGATGCTTATGTTGATGTGCATAATGGGAATGGGGATGGTGTTCCTGATGTTGGGCCTGGGGATGAGGGTTTGTTAAGTTCAGAAGAGAGGCCTGAGCAAGGCCACATTCCTGGGAAAGACCTTTCACCACTTTTTCTCAGAATAGTAAAGGTAAAGGTTTTCCCCTGACATTAAGTCCAGTCGTGTCCAACTCTGGGGGTTGATGCTCATCTCTATTTCTAAGCCAAGGAGCTGGCATTGTCCATAAATGCCTCCTAGGTCATGTGGCCTGCATGACTGCATGGAGCGCTGTTACTGCTGGGGCAGTACCTATTGATCTACTCACATTTGCATGTCTTCGAACTGCTAGGTTGGCAGAAACTGGGGCTGACAGTGGAAGCTCATGCCGCTCCCTGGATTCGAACCTGCAGCCTTTTGGTCAACAAGCTCAGCAGCTCAGTGGTTTAACCCACTGGGTGGGGGGGGGGGCTCAGAATTTCTCAGAATAGCGGCCTGAAAATGATGCTGAGATTGCTTTGTCAGGTGCAGAGGGAGGGGATAAGGAAACCTTGAACAAAGTTTTACTAAACAAGGGCAGAACTTTCAGAATCTCAGGCGTTCAGTTTGTCTACAGCAAAAGAGAGATAATAAACCATTATCTAGTGGGAAGGTGAGAAAGAATGCTTTCCTTTTCAGCTTGGGGCTCTAGAAAGAGTTTATAATGATTCTTGGGAGGCAAGTATCTCAGTCGAGCCAACATTGTTATTTTATGACGGTCTTGCTTTCAAGTGATCTTTATTTATTTATTTACTTCTTTTGTATACCGCAAATATCAGCCTAAAAAGGCGACTCGAAGCGGTTTACAATAAAATGTGCAACACTGAACAATCTATATAACAAACATACACAAACAATACACATAAAAATCATCACGCCTCATTAGAATCAGATCTCGATCTCACAGTCGTATTACCATTCCTTGTTCAATGTGCCGTCATTCCTGAGTCAGTTGTTATTGCATATTTATCCGAACGCCTGTTCGAAGAGCCACGTCTTAACCCTCCTCCTAAACGCCAATAGCGAAGGGGCCTGCCTGATGTCTGCTGGTAGGGCATTCCATAGCCGGGGGGCCACCACTGAGAAGGCCCTGTCCCTCGTTCCCGCCAGCCGCACCTGTGACGCTGGCGGGACCGAGAGCAGGGCCTCCCCAGACGATCTTAACAACCTCGCCGGTTCATAGGTGGAGATGCGTTCGGAGAGGTAAGTGGGGCCGGAACCGTGTAGGGCTTTATAGGCTAAAGCCAGCACCTTGAATTGTGCCCGGTAGCAATTGTTTCATGTAGTGTATCAAGTTGTGTCTTTGTTTCATGTAGTGTATCAAGTTGTGTCAAGCTTAAGGTTTTGCCTGGACGTTCCTGCTGTTTTGTCTCATGGTTTCAAGTGCCTTGTTTCATGGATTTCTGTGTTTTAATAGACCTGGTTTCCCTGTAAAATTTATGGATTATCCTGCATTTTTACTGCTATGCCGGCATATATTCTACAATAAACTGCTTGATGATTTTACTAAGCTGCTGTGTTGTTTCAAGTCAGAGGTGTTCCTGCTCTGGAGTATGACATGAAGTTTCATACTCCAGAACAGGAACATGGCATTATACTAAATGTCCTTCGACCATTAGCTGGTCATTGGAAGTGCCTCTAGAGTTGCTGTAAGAAGGTCCTCCATTGTGCATGTGGCAGGGCTCAGGTTGCATTGTAATAGGTTGTCTGTCGTTTGCTCTTCTCCACACTTGCATGTCGTGGACTCCACTTTGTGGCCCCATATCTTAAGGTCGGCTTTTGATCTCGTGGTGCCAGAGCACAGCCTGTTTCGCGCCCTCCAGGTCACCCAGTCTTCTGTGTGCTCAGAAGGGAGTTTCTCATCCAGTCTCAGCCACTGATTAAGGTGCTGGGTTTTAACCTGCTATTTTTGGATTCTTGTTTGCTGAGGTATTCCTGCGAGTATCTCTCTCAAGCTGTTTATTGATTTAAGGTGATGACATGCTGGCTGATATCTGAACAAAGGATGGGCTGGGGATGTCACTACCTTGGTCCTTTCATTACTGGCTGCTCCTTCCCGACAAATGTCAGGTAGTGCAATACCAACTAAATAGTATTACATCTCCAGCAGTGTAGGGTGTAGACATCTTGTGATAATGCAGCATGTCTCATTAAGAGCCACATCCACAGTTTTAACATGGTGGGATGTATTCCACACTGGGCATGCGTATTCAGTAGTAGAGTAGCAAAACACAAGGGAGAGGTCTTCATTGTCTGGTTGTGATCCCCAGGTTATGCCAGTCAGCTTTTGTACGATATTATTTCTAGCACCCACTTTTTGCTTGACATTCAGTCAGTGCTTCTTGTAAGTCAGAGCATGGTCCAGGGTGACTCCCAGGTATCTGGGTGTGCTGCAATGCTCCAGTGGGATTCCTTCCCAGGTCATCCTCAGAGCTCGAGATGCTTTTCTGTTCTTAAGGTGAAAAGCACACTTCTGTGTTTTGGATTGATTAGTAATCAGCTGGTTTTCCCTGTAAAAGGCAGTAAAAGCACCTAAAGCTTTGGAGAGCTTCTGTTCAACCATTTCAAAGCTCCCTGCTTGAGCGGTGATGGTATGATCATCAGCATAGATGGAACTCTCTGTCCCTTCTGGCAGTGGCTGATCATTTGTGTAAATGTTAAACATTGATGGAGCACGCACGCTCCCCTGAGGCAGACCATTCTTCTGTTTTCTCTTTCAGAGAACTGAAGAAGTATTAGATTTGAATGCATCAAATCATAACAACAACTATTATTATAATAATTATAATATTTATTATCCACCTTTTCTTACTGCTCTCAAAGCAGGCATTCCCTCCCCCCAAAACATGGCTTTTAACAGCAACAGCAACAACAATAACAACAATAACTACTTCTACTACTACTACAGGCAGTCCCCAAGTTACAAACATCTGCCTTACATACTACTCATAGTTAAGAACAGGGATGAGACAACAGGAAGTGCGAGAAATCTGATCCTAATAAGGGAAATTCACTCCTGGAAGAATTATTAACATGGGGAAAAGTGGTCTCCACCGAAGCTTTCTCTCTAATCCTTGTCTCTAAAACAAACCAAATTTTCCAAAATCCCATTCTCACAAGGACAAGAAGTGAGGCGAAATCTTCTGAACAGAAGCACAGACAGCAAAACAAACACCACATGGATGTTAACCCTTCCTTATGCTATCCAAAGCTAAAGAAAATATATTTGGGCTGAAGTCACACTTAAGAAGTGTTCCTGTTCCAACTTACATTCACATTCAGCTTAAGAACAAACCTACACAACCTGTCTTGTTCGTAATGTGGAGCCTGCCTGTACTACTACAATATTAGGGACTCTTCTACCAAAATTAGCTAAATTACTTTTGTCGATCTACTCTTTCATATATTACCTGCAACAATAAAAGTAAGCAGTTACCTTTTTGTGATTACCTTACCATCATCCTGTGTATTTCCTCTCCTGTTTCCTACCATAAGCTTATATATAGCACTGGCTATACTGTGCTCTGCTCTGCTATAAATGGCAAATATTCCCAAAGATCATGTGACTCCTTTCCATCTGACTCTCTTGTTGGAAGCAAACGCTCTTTCCTCTGGCAGCCTTCTCTGTTGGGGCTTTGTGTGTGTATCCATCCATCCATCCCTCTATCTATCTACTCACTCTTACCTTGTCAATTGTAGGTGAGCCATCAGCTGGGGAGCGTGATGGATCTCTTTACCACCAGCCTGGCTTTGGCAGGACTCCCGCCTCCCAGTGACAGGGAGATCGACGGCATCGACCTTTCGCCCGTCGTCCTGCAAGGCAAGCTAATTGACAGGTGAGCCGTGAGCGGCACGTGGCCTGCTTCCCAACCCAAGACTCCTCCATGGATTGTTTTGTTGCCTTTAGAGCCTCTTGGTTGAAGCAGGAAGAGGTGAGAATACTGTGTCCAATTCTGGGTGCCGCAATTGTAGGGAGATGTTGATAAGCTGGAATGTGTCCAGAGGAGGGTGGCTAAAATTATCAAGGGTCTGGAGAACAATGAGGAGCGGCTTAAAGAGCTGGGCATGTTTAGCCCTCAGAAGAAAAGGCTGAGAGGAGAAATGATGAGGGCCATGTATAAATATGTAAGAGAAAGTCATAGGAAGGAGGGAGCAGGCTTGTTTTCTGCTGCCCTGGAGACTAGGATGGGGAATAATGGCTTCAAACTACAAGACAGGTGATTCCATCTGAACAGGAGGAAGAACTTCCTGACTGTGAGAGCTGTTCAGCAGTGGAACTCTCTGCCCCAGGGTGTGGTGGGGGCTCCTTCTTTAGAGTATTTTAAACAGAGACTGGATGGGGTGCTTTAATGTGATTTTCCTGCTTCTTGGCAGAATGGGGTTAAACTGGATGGCCCACAAGGTCTCTTCCAAACTCTATGATTCTATGAAAAAGAAGTGTCTTGCGATGCCAGGTGTTTAAGTTCAGCCTTTGATTGTGCCTGCACCTGATCTCTCTGGGGATTCTGGGCCTGTTAGTCATTCTAGGTCTGCAACCCAGCAGGAAAGCCAGCAAGAGATTTTAAGCCCTGAAAATGAGGGGTTTGTCTCTGAAGGCCACATTCCTGAAAGGCAGCTAGGGAAGCAAGGTCACAGACAGATCTGAGCTCAGAGGATGAAAAAGAAAGTCCAGGTGGACAGGCTAATGAGCAGTTAGATAGGAGATTTACGTTCCGGTAACATAGGGTTTCTCAGGAGAGTCTACGAAGGTCAAGATGATTGTAAGCGAAGAAGTCCTTATCAGTTTCCCAGGGGAGAAGGCATGATTTTCTCTCTATATTAGCTAACCCAGCAGATGGGTCTGTTAGTCCAGGCAACATTGGCGATTAAGTATAGATCTGTTGTCAAGTCAAGGGATTGCTAGTTCCATGTTCCACGTTTCCTTTTGTTCTTGTCTCATAATTCCAAGTTCCTGAATCTCATGTTTGGGACACCCAGTTAAACTGGATGAATCTAAAAATGATGATGACTTTCTTTTCTGCAATAGTGTCAAAATAGGAACATTTGTTGCACTCCAGGAAAGAAAAAGCCCTCTGTAAACACCACACCATTGATTGGAAAACAATCCTTTTATTAAAGATAATTAAAAAGCAGCAAGTAAAAAGCACTTTAAAGAAATAGGTAAATCCAATTTGAAGATAAGCAGGAGCAAAAAATAGTCCAAGTAAAGTCCATAAAAACAAAGTCCACACTTCTCTAATATAATTCAGGAAAACAGGAATCATTGATCCAAGGCATGAGTAGGCATTCATACATTCCAAGAATCCAAACCATGAACAAGAAATACTTAGACAAGAATCTTCCAAAGCAAAGCTTCCATGAAACAAAGGACGAGAACTATGCTTGATTCCAACAATGCTTCATCTGACTATATTTTCCATACTTGGAACTTTCTATCCCCTCGTTAAGCTATTCCACACACTCAGGAATTGGTTTTGTTTTACTTGAGATCCCCTTATCTTTTTCTGTTGAAGCCTGGCAGAATGCAGAAGGCACTGTTCGGCCTGTCTGTTTTGACTAATTTCGTCTCGCCTATCTATTTGCTCATGTAAGTCTTGCAGCTGGGCCAGGTGCCCAGTTGTTTTCAAGCCCCAAATCCTGGGAACTTTCTGGTAACAATTTACTATCATCCCCACACCCTTCAGGGACATTCTCATGGGAAACTACACTTTGCACAGGGGTCTCCTGGTCCTTCTCTACATCAGTATCATTGGCCAAACCATTGCCATCTTGAAATTCATTGACATCACTTCCCACATCCAAAGCACCCTGCCCCTGAAACACAATCACAGACTGAACTCCAACAACATTATCTTTTTCGCAATGTTTAGTTGGGTCAGGGTTTCACTTTTTGCACAACTTAAATCTGAATTGGTCTATTTCTCTCCAGTTTTGTACCCCGCACCAGCACAATGAGTGTTTATATATTTTATACCAGGACTTATTTGACCCTATCCTATCCAACATCCCCATTTGTGGTTTGCATTTGAAGGAAGCCCATACACGCTGGCCTCCCATTCGTCTGGAAATCTAGCCTCCCAGATCTTTTGTGCCTCCTCCGGTGCCCAGATGCCTCTTCTTCCCCTTTTTGAAGCATTTGAAGCCATTTGACGCTGTGTGAAAATTACATGGTCTGGTAGTTCAAGGATTAACACCAAGACAGGTTGCGTAAGGTCTCGTTCTTGCTTTCGCACACATGAGGCAGGCTCCCTCTCGCCTTGATGGACGCTTTTAAAAAATGCTAATTGAAAACCTTGCGGCAGAGGCTATTAGGAGGCAACCTGCTCCTGAGTGATAGCGGAGTTGCCAGCCAGGCTCCCTTTAAAAGTGTTTGTCTCCCTTATCTCTGTGGCTGCCAATAAAGATGGCAGGGAGGGGGGACTGGGGAGGGGGAACGCTTGTTTGGACACGTTACATTTCTCATGTAGCCTTACGTCTCTTTTTGTTCTTCCCTCTTTCTCGTTCCATCAGGCCAATATTTTATTACCGTGGCAACGAGATGATGGCAGTACGAATTGGGCTTTATAAAGCCCATTACTGGACCTGGAGCAATTCCTGGGAAGAATTTGGCCAGGTAATTGAAAAAAAAAAAGAGCCTTTTTTACTCCCTCCTCTTTTTCTCTCTCATTCTCCTTCCTTCCTTCCTTCCTTCCTTCCTTCCTTCCTTCCTTCCTTCCTTCCTTCCTTCCTTCCTTCCTTCCTTCCTTCCTTCCTTCCTTCCGGTTTCCCCTTGACATTAAGTCTAGTTGTGTCTGACTCTGGGGCTTGGTGCTCCTCTCCATTCTTAAGCCGAAGAGCCGGTATTGTCCATAGACTCCTCCACATTTGAAGTCCAAAACATGTGGAGGACCAAAACATGTGGAGGACACCATGCCTGGTGTAGACTCATGTAATGCATTATATGTTAGTAAAGATGAGGACTGTCGAAGGTGTAGTGTGCTGCTTACTTACTTACTTTACTTACTTAGGCAATCCCTCATAGTCCGAGGATGATGGTTCTTCAAGTTCGGTGTCCTGGCGGTGGGTCCGTAGGTGACTGTGGAGCCCTATTCTTGATCTGCATCTTCTCCCTCAGTGAGGGCATTGGTTTCCAGGTGGAAGGCGGTCTCAGTCAGGGTTGGCTTGACGCGCCTTCCTCTTGGAATGTTTCTCTCTTTTACCCTCCATTCGTGCCTCTTCAAATTCTGCAGCACTGCTGGTCACACTGCTGGAGCGCTCAAGGGCCAGGGCTTCCCAGTTCTCAGTGTCTATGCCAGAGTTTTTAAGGTTGGCTTTGAGCCCATCTTTAAATCTTTTTTCCTGTCCTCCAACATTCCGTTTTCCGTTCTTGAGTTCGGAGTAGAGCAACTGCTTTGGAAGACGGTGGTCGGGCATCCGGACAACGTGGCTGGTCCAGCGGAGTTGATGACGGAGGACCATCGCTTCAATGCTGGTGGTCTCTGCTTCTTCCAGCACGCTGACATTTGTCCGCCTGTCTTCCCAAGAGATTTGCAGGATTTTCCGGAGGCAGCGCTGATGGAATCGTTCCAGGAGTTGCATGTGACGTCTGTAAACAGTCCACGTTTCGCAGGCATATAGCAGGGTTGGGAGGACAATAGCTTTATAAACAAGCACCTTGGTATCCCTACGGATGCGGTCCTCAAACACTCTCTGCTTCATTCGGAAAAATGCTGCACTTGCAGAGCTCAGGTGGTGTTGTATTTCAGTGTCAATGTTGACTTTGGTGGAGAAGTGGCTGCCAAGGTAGCGGAAATGGTCAACATTTTCTAATGATACACCATTAAGCTGTATCTCTGGCATTGGAGAGTGGTTGTCTGGTGACTGCTAGAAGAGCACTTTGGTTTTCTCGATGTTCAATGACAGGCCTAGCTTCTTGTATGCTTCTGCGAAGGTGTTTAGAGTGGCTTGTATCTTCTTCTGAATGCGCACAGACGACGTTGTCATCAGCATACTGGAGTTCTATAACAGATGTTGTTGTAACCTTGGTTTTGGCTTTCAGTCTGCTGAGGATAAACAGCTTGCCATCTGTCCGATAGATGATTTCGACTCCGGTGGGAAGCTTCCCATCAACAAGGTGAAGTATCATAGCGATGAAGATGGAGAATAGAGTTGGGGCAATAACACATCCCTGTTTGACACCTGATTCCACCTTAAATGGGTCACTTTGGGAGCCATTGCTGTCCAAAACTGTTGCCATCATGTCTTCATGGAGGAGCCACATGTTGTCTGCTGCATCACTAGACTATTAGGTGAATCTGTCAGAAAACAATATTATTTTACCTAGACCTAACGTCGTAGCCAGAAAGCTTTAGTAGGGTCAGAGAACTAGAAAGATGTAGAGAGAAGGGGATGTGAAGTGCTATATTGATCGTACCTTATAAGTCAAGGTGATTGCGGTGCAAGAAACAAAGCCTTCGTGCCGCCAGCTTTGGAGCGTGATGTGCACTTCAAGGCTCTGCGTGTTTTGATGCACGCATAGGTGACATTTCTCTCCCTTGCCCCAAAGCATAGAAGCGGCATGTCCATTCGAGCATCTCAGAGGCCTTCTGCATCTGCACATGAACCTGGGATGGAAAATAATAGGCCCCTAATCTGTGGAATCACCTTCCTTGTCGGAGCAGCACTATAAATCCTCTTTCCTTTGAAGGGGCATAATAGGCCTGACAAAACTCATGTGACGTTACCAGTTGTGAAAATGCCCCAGAGTTTAGCGCTTTAGTTAAGAACAAGGGGGAATTTTTTAAAAAGTACTGTGGCGAGGAAGAATAAAAATGCAAACAACTGCTTTGATTTTATTTATTTATCATGTCAGGGGCAACCAGATAATTGTATTACATTTCTAAACAAACAAACAAACAGACAAAACACAAATTTTGCAAGCTTGGTAGTTGATTAAATGTCCTTTGACCAGTATCTGGCCACTTGGAGTGCCTCTGGTGTTGCCGCAAGAAGGTCCTCCATTGTGCATGTAGCAGGGCTCAGGTTGCATTGCAGCAGGTGGTCAGTGGTTTGCTCTTCTCCACACTCACATGCCGTGGATTCCACTTTGTAACCCCATTTCTTAAGATTGGCTCTGCATCTCGTGGTGCCAGAGCGCAGTCTGTTCAGCGCCTTCCAAGTCGCCCAGTCTTCTGTGTGCCCAGGGGGGAGTCTCTCATTTGGTATCCAGCCATTGATTGAGGTTCTGGGTTTGAGCCTGCCACTTTTGGACTCTAGAGTTGGGAAGAGATCCCAAAGGCCATTCAGTTCAATCCCCTTCTGCCAGGCAGGAAAGCACAATGTACTGTATTATCGAAGGCTTTCATAGCCGAAATCACTGAGTTGTTGTAGGTTTTTTCGGGCTATATGGCCATGTTCTAGAGGCATTCTCTCCTGACATTTCACTTGCTTCTATGGCAAGAATCCTCAGAGGTAGTGAGGTCTGTTGGAACTAGGAAAAATGTTTTATATATCTGTGGAATGACCAGGGTGGAACAAAGGACTCTTGTCTGCTGGAGCTAGGTGTGAATGTCTCAACTGACTACCTTGATTAGCATTTGATGGCCTGGCATTGCCTGGGGGAATCTTTTGTTGAGAGGTGATTAGATGTCCCAGATTGTTTCCTCTCTGTTGTTTTGCTGTTGTAATTTTAGAAGTTTTTAATACTGGTAGCCAGATTTTGTTCATTTTCATGGTTTCCTCCTTTCTGTTGAGATTGTCCACGTGCTTGTGGATTTCAATGGCTTCTCTTTGTGGTCTGAAATGATGCTTGTTAGAGTGGTCCAGCATTTCTGTGTTCTCAAATAATATGCTGTGTCCAGGTTGGTTCATCAGGTGCTCTGCTATGGCAAAACGCAGCATTGCCCAAACACGAATCAAGGAACATGAAAGGCACTGCAGACTAATTGAACCAAAGAAGTCAGCAAAGGGGTGATCATTTATGCTGGGCCACAAAACTAACGCATCTTCGAAATAACAGAAGAACCTTGGATTTTCTCCCTGATATTTACAAGCCTCCCTTTCTCTCTCCCTCCTGCACCACACAACCCATTCATCACCTTCTGAGTGCCGTAGTGACAATTTGGAAACAGCACAGACAAGAACCACTTGTAAATCACAGCAATGGCCCTTTTACCGCTCTCCTGGATGGTTGTGGCTGAGTAAATATTCCTCGCAGACGCGCAGCTGCAAGGCCACCCCGCCAATGCTGTGGGTTTCCCATTGAGTGGATTTACAGTTCTCCTTTTGGCACTTTGAGGGGAACAGATGCTCAGGAACGTTCAGTATTCGCAATCAGGCAAGAGGAAAACATGAAAGAGCAGATTGAGGCAAGAGAGGAGAGAAGGCAAAGTAAAGGAAAACCAGTTTATGGCAACTGGGGGGAAGTGGATAGTGGGTGGCAGAGGTTGGATGTCCATCTGTCTTGCAAGCTTACATTGTGCTTGAGTTGTTGTAGGTTTTTCCAACATTCACACTTGCCTCAAATAGACAAGAGTTCTTTCTCCCACCCTGGACATTCCACGGATAAATAAACCCCACTCACAAGTGTTGAGGATGCCTGCCATAGATGTGGGCGAAACATCAGGAGAGAATGCTTCTGGAACAGGGCCAAAACTCACAGCAACCCAGTGATTCTGGCCATGAACGCCTTCAACAATACATTATCACGCCTTTTCCTCCCAAATCAAAACTTTGGGCTGCACTGGAGACTCTACTAGAAGTGCTATAAAAACCTTATATGTGCTGAGGATGCCTGCCATAGATGTGGGCAAAACGTCAGGAGAGAATGCTTCTAGAACATGGCCAAACAGCCCGGAAAACTCGCAGCAACCCAGTGATTCTGGCCATGAAAGCCTTCAACAACACATTATCACTCCCACCGCCAAATAAACCAAAACTTTGGGGTGCACTGGAGACTCTACTAGAAGTGCTATAAAAACTTCACAACCTCTGAGGATGCTTGCCACAGATGCAGGCGAAATGTCAGGAGAGAATGCTTCTAGAACATGACCAGACAGCCCAAAAAACCTACAACAACCCAGCTATAAAAACCGTTGGCTCTTAGAAACTTGGGTCAAGTAATTTGTGTGACTAACTATCCCATGTTGCTTGAGAGGTATCTTAACTCGCAAACCTGTCCCTTTCTCTGGAAAGGGGTGCAGGCCACTTTTTTTCTGTGGATTCCCGAAGCTTGCTTGGTTTATTATATTGTTATATATTGAAATGTATTTTGTAAAACCGCTTTGGTTGGGTGGATTCCGTAGTAGCCTATAGCTTCTATGTCATCTGTCACCTTTGGCTCTTGTTAGCTTGGAGATTTTTCTTTTTGAAAATCATAAAAGCAGGCATAGTTTTTGCACCACTGTTTACTGGAGCAGCACTTCTTGTTTTAGCTGCAAATGCCAAAGGGCTTTTGGGCCGCCCTTCTATTGATCGGTCACCCCACTTCCCCTCCGCCGCTTGGTGTGAAGCCAAGGAGAACCTCACCAGTAATGACATTTGATTGTGGTCCTCTGAGCCTGTGGGTTCGCTATCAATTGATCGATCGAACGCGTCTGTTCAAGAGTCGATGCAGACTTTCGGATTTCCTCCCTC